CGCAATAACCCCAAGCAGAACTACAGGCTGGGAGATGAGTGGTTGGAGAGCTGCCAGGCAGAGAAGGACCTGGGAGTGATGGTGGACAGTCGGCTGAATATGAGCCAGCAGTGTGCTCAGGTGGCCAAGAAGGCCAACGGCATCCTGGCTTGTATCAGAAGCAGTGTGACCAGCAGGGCTAGGGAGGTGATCGTCCCCCTGTACTCGGCTCTGGTGAGGCCGTACCTCGAGTGCTGTGTTCAGTTTTGGGCCCCTCGCTAAAAGAAGGACATCGAGGTGCTTGAGCGGGTCCAGAGAAGGGCGACGAAGCTGGTGAGGGGCCTGGAGAACAAGTCCTACGAGGAGCGGCTGAAGGAGCTGGGCTTGTTCAGCCTGGAGAAGAGGAGGCTCAGGGGCGACCTTATTGCTCTCTACAGGTACCTTAAAGGAGGCTGTAGTGAGGTGGGGGTTGGCCTGTTCTTCCACGTGCCTGGTGACAGGACGAGGGAGAATGGGCTAAAGTTGCGCCAGGGGAGTTTTAGGTTAGATGTTAGGAAGAACTTCTTTACTGAAAGGGTTGTGAGGCACTGGAACAGGCTGCCCAGGGAGGTGGTGGAGTCACCATCCCTGGAAGTCTTCAAAAGACGTTTAGATGTAGAGCTTAGGGATATGGTTTAGTGGGGACTGTTAGCGTTAGGTCAGAGGTTGGACTCGATGATCTTGAGGTCTCTTCCAACCTAGAAATTCTGTGATTCTGTGATTCTGTGATTCTCCCACAGTGTGTAGGGGTTTTGTATCAGCAGGACCAGGACGGCTGTCAGACCCCCTGTTGTTAACTAGGCAAGTGGCCTCAGGTAGGTTTATATCCCAATGTTTCCATGTCCCAGTACCCAATGCTCGCAGCATAGTTTTTAACAGTCCATTGTACCTCTCAACCTTCCCAGAGGCTTGTGGGTGATAAGGGATGTGATACACCCACTCAGTGCCATGTCTCTTGGCCCAGGAAGTGACCAAATTGTTTCGGAAGTGACTCCCATTGTCGGACTCAATTCTCTCTGGTGTACCATGTCGCCGCAGCACTTGTCTTTCCAGGCCCAAGATAGTGTTTTGGGCTGTGGCATGGTTTACTGGATATGTTTCCAGCCACCCAGTAGTTGCTTCTACCATGGTAAGTATGTAATGTTTACCTTGGCGGGTTTGTGGGAGTGGTCCAGTGTAGTCAATCTGCCAGGCCTCACCATAACGAAATCCAAGCCATCTCCCCCTATTCCAGGGAGACTTTACCCTCATGTCTCGTTTGATTGCAGCGCAGGTCTCACATTGATGGGTAACCTATGTGATGGCCTCAATGGTCAGGTCCACCCCTCGATCACAAGCCTATCTGTATGTGGCATCCCTCCCTAGATGTCCTGATGTTTCATGGGCCCATCAAGCTACAAATAGCTCACCCTTACATCCCCAGTCCAGGTCTACCTGAGCTACTTCAATTTTCGAAGCTCGATCTACTTCTTCCTTGTTCTGATGTTCTTCGGTGGCACAATTCTTAGGCATGTGGGCATCTACATGACGTACCTTTACAGCCAGGTTTTCCACCCGGGCAGCAACATCTTGCCACAGGGTAGCAGCCCAGATAGGTTTACCTCTGCACTGCCAGTTGTTCTGTTTCCATTGTCGCAGCCACCCCCACAGAGCATTTGCCACCATCCATGAGTCAGTGTAGAGATACAGTATTGGCCATTTTTCTCTTTCAGCAATTTCTAGGGCCAGTTGTATAGCTTTCACTTCTGCATACTGACTCGACTCGCCTTCCCCTTCCATGGCCTCCACAACTCGTCGTGTGGGACTCCACATGGCAGCTTTCCACTTCCGATGGCTCCCTACCACACGGCAGGATCCGTCAGTGAACAACACATATTGCTTTCTGTCTTCTGGCAACTCATTGTATGGTGGTGTCTCTTCAGCACGAGTTACCTCTTCTGTCGGTACTCCAAAATCCCTGCCCTCTGGCCAGTCCATAATCTCTTCCAGGATGCCCAGGTGGTTGGGTTTCCCCATTCGAGCCTGCTGTGTAATTAACGCTACCCATTTACTCCACGTAGTGTTGATTGCATGGTGTTTAGTGGGGATTTTCCCTTTGAACATCCAGTGTAACACAGGTAGCCATGGGGCCAAGAGGAGTTGTGCTTCTGTACCAACAACTTCTGAAGTGGCTCAAACCCCCTCATATGCTGTTAATATTTCCTTTTCAGTTGGGGTGTAATTGGCTTCTGATCCTCGATAGCCCTGGCTCCAGAACCTCAGAGGTCGGCCTCGAGTTTCTCCTGGGGTCTTCTGCCAGAGGCTCCAGGTAAGCCCATGCTCCCCAGCTGCAGTATATTATGTTTTGCACAGCTGGTCCAGTACAGACAGGCCCAAGGGCTACTGAACGAGCTATTTCTTGTTTGAGTTGTTCAAAGGCCTGTTGTTGCTCGTGACCCCACTCAAAAGAGTTCTTCTTTCAAGACACTCAATATAGAGGACTCACAAGCTGACCATAGCCTGGCACGTGCATTCTCCAAAATCCCACAAGGCCTAGGAAAGCCTGTGTTTCTTTTTTGCTAGTTGGCGGAAACATAACTGTTATTTTGTTGATCACGTCCATCGGAATGTTGCGATGTCCATCCTGCCATTTTACCCCCAAGAACTGGATTTCCTGTGTGTGTCCCTTGACCTTATTCTGTTTAATAGCAAAGCCAGCTTTCAGGAGAATTTGAATTATTTTCTTCCCTTTCTCAAAAACTTCTCCTGCTGTGTTACCCCATACGATGATATCATCGATGCACTGCAGGTGTTCAGGAGCGTTCCCCTATTCCAGTGTCGTCTGGATCAGTACATGGTAAATGGGCTGTGTTTCCACCCCTGGGGCAGTCGATTCCAAGTATATTGAATGCCCCTCCAAGTGAAATCAAATTGTGGCCTGCATGCTGCTGCCAGAGGGATGGAGAAAAATGCATTAGCGATATTGATGGTAGCATACCGCTTGGCTGCCTTTGACTCTAGTTCGTACTGGAGTTCTAGCATGTCTGGCACTGCAGCACTCAGTGGTGGCGTGACTTCATTCAGGCTCCAATAGTCCACCGTTAGTCTCCACTCACCATTGGACTTTCGCACTGGCCATATAGGACTGTTAAAAGGTGAATGAGTCTTGCTGATCACTCCTTGGCTCTCCAGATGATGAACTAACTTATGGATAGGAACCAGGGAGTTTCAGTTGGTGTGATATTGCCGCTGGTGCACAGTTGCAGTCACAATTGGCACTTGCTGTTCTTCAATCCTCAGCAATCCTACAGCAGAAGGGTCTTGTGAGAGACCAGGCAGGGTAGACAGCTGCTTAATCTTCTCTGTGCTCAAGGCAGCTATGCCAAAAACCCACCGGTACCCTTTTGGATCCTTGAGGTAGTCTATGCCGAGGATGCACAGAGCCTCTGGGCCAGTCACGATGAGGTGCTTTTGCCACTCATTCCCAGTTAGACTCATTTCAGCTTCCAATGCAGTTAGCTCTTGGGATCTGGGATCCCCCCATCACTCCAGAGGTAGAGATGAATTTTGCCCCTTGGTGGCCTGACGGCATTAGGGTACACTGTGCACCTGTGTCCACTAAAGCTTTATATTTCTGCGGTTCTGGTGTGCCAGGCCATCAAATCCACACAGTCCAGTAAATCCGGTTGTCCCTCTCCTCTACCTGGCCAGAGGCAGGGCCCCACTAGTCCTGGTTGGAGTATCTATCAATAAATTCTTGCAAATATGAAGCAGAGGTCTCCTCATCAGGGTCAAGAGTAATACTAGCTCTTCTACTGCCTCTGGGGGACTGCCCAACAGAAACTGGGGCAGCAATCCTCCTAGGGGCCCCTTTTGTTGCTGCTGTATCTTTCCACAGCTCACATACCCGAGCAGCTATGGCCGAGGATGGTTCGTCATCCCACTTCCTCATATCTTCCCCATAGTCACGTAAATAAAACCACAAAGTATCCCGCGGTGTGCGTCCTGGATTCTCCCTTGCTTGAGCCGGAGACTGCTGGCACTTGATGGCTGAAAGATTCTTCCGTCTAGGTGAGGAGGAAGCTATGTATTCTTCTAACCATTGGGACAGTCTCTCCACAGCTGAAATGCAGGCCCGTACTGGGGCAGAGAGATTTTCTTCATATTTATGAAGCTGGTTGGACACGTTATCCACAGTTGGCCCCATCCCCTCCTCCCAATCCATTGATGCCAGTGTGCTGGCATGTGATGAGGGTGCAGCCCATACAAACTTCTGCCACATGGATGTTGTGCATTGGACTTCATCAGGGTCTTTAGGTGTCTGGGCATTGTTCAAATCACTATAAAGCATCTCCAGCACAGCTAATTCCCACAGGTGCTGTAAACCCTTATCCATAGTGGTCCATTGCCTGCTTGATATACAATATCTTCGATGTGGGGATACCTTTCTTTCACGGCTGTTAGGAGTCGCCTCCAGAGACTGAGAACGTGTGCCTCTCTCCCAATTACTCTATCAATGAGCCTTTCTCTAGAGAGGGATCTGCTCCATGCCCTAGCACCTGGGCACAAGGGCACATGGGTGGCTCACGTGTCCTCTGTGTCTGTCAGCTTCGCACACAACCTCAAAGCCATGACAGCCTTCCCCAGTCGTGCCCTCTGAAGTGTGCCCAGCCACTGCCTTGTCACACAGACAGTGCCCATCTGGGGACCAAGGCACCTGGGGTGTGTGTGGGGCACCTTCTTGTGTGTGCGAGGCTATGTGTGTGCACTGGCATGTCTGATTTTGTAGAGGATGTGGGAGGCAGAGGTATATGTGGTGGGGGAACAGAGTCAGAGGATATTTATATGTCTGTCGTATGGAAACAGCATGGTTTTACCTCAAACCATTTCCCATTATCACATGTCATCTAGAGTATGTCGATGGGCTCAGTGGTGAGGTCTTGTCTCTGTGCTGGTGAAAGGGAAATAAAGGGGGGGAAAAATAAAAACGCTTTATCCAAATCCATGTTTTATCCAAATTCTTTATTCTCCAGAATCATAATTTCACACAAGTAAGCCAGGGCCACTCGTTGTCCTGTTCGGAGACTCTGAGCTGCCCTCCTGTAAATACCCTCCCTGCCACCCTCCTATAAATAGCATTATGATCCACCGATGAAAATACCATCTATCTCATATGATCATTTCTTAAATAAATTAAAATAATAAAAGAACAATAGAGGCGCAGTCCCATGGGCCTTTCTGGGCCACAGGCAGAGGTGTCAGGCTGACTGATGACGTTTCAGACTGGTCTGAAGTGCAAGCTGAGTGCAAGCAGCAACACCCCAACATGGGGTGTCTCATGGTGCCCTTCCCACAGTCCCTGGGAGCTGCATGCAGACGGTGTGGTATCGTGCAGCTCCTGCCATCCCAAAGCCCTGCTCTGTCGCAGGGGCTCAGGATGACAAGACTCATGACAGCAGCTGTGCTTCCTGTCTGGCTTTGCTCAGTTCTGCTTCATGTTCTGCAGGTATCTTTGCACCCAGGTGTCACTTGGATTGGCACAGACTTCGCGCCCTTTCTTTGTGATGAACCTGTGGAACAGGGATGAGACACGTGAGGTCTCTGCTCAGACCAAGCTCCCAGGTTTGGGGTATTGCAGGAGGTTCTCCCTTGTGTCCCAAGCTTGTGCCATGGCTGACAGTGATTTTCCCCCATTCCCATCTGCTTTTTCACACTACAGGAATATCCCTGGGAGTCCCCACAAAAGATTTGTTGGCAGTCCCTGCAGGAGCATCCCCAGCAGGTCCCTGCACATGAGCACGCACGTGCCAAAATGGCTGTGCCTGCGCTGCACCCAGGCGTCAGCCTTGATACCTACACGAGGGCTGGCAGGGAGCAGCTGGTGCTGGTGACGTAGTAACGCAGGATGAGCTTCTTTGGGAGCTTGTGGGATGTGTAAGAGAAGCAGCAGGTTGGGTGGTCAGGTCCAACTGGAAGAGACAGGGAGAGACAGCATGAGCATGTGCTGAGCTGTGCACCAGGAGCAGCCAGCCCAGAAGTGCAGGAAGCTAGGCAGGTAGGAGGGAGTGAGGAACCAGGGAATAATTAAGGCTGAAAGGGACATGGGAGATTGTCTGGTCCAATGTCAACGACCATTGCTAGGGAAGGCAAGTATAGGAGAGATTCCCACTCAGTTTTTGGGCAGTGGTTGGGAACCCTGAACTATAACCAGGAATAAGAATCCCAGGTCCAGGATGGCTGGACAGATGGCTAGTTGGATGGAGGGACGGACGGATGGACGGAGGGATGATTTTCCACTTCAGGGAAATTGTAATTGATTGCAGTGCAGAGTGGAGAGTGGCTGAAAAATTCCCAGCTATCTACCAGGGGATCTCAGTGGAGAAATAATAACGAAGGCTCAGCTCCATTCTTCCTTCACAAATAAGAAAGCAGGACTCACCTGGGGCAGAGGACGTTTGGGAGCAAGAGGCTGCAATGAGGAGAAGAGCGAGAACAACTGAAGAGACCTTCATCCTCCCGTCAGACAAGGACAGTTGGAGCAGGACCAGGAGCTCTGGCAGATGCAACACAGACTGCATCAGCTGGATTCAGTTCCCTTTTAATAGGGAGTCCTGGAGGCAGCAGAGAAGCCCAAGTGGAAATTCCAGAATTATGATAGAGGATGTCACGAAAGTGAAATAGCCAAAAAATAATAAGGCAGAAGGAATGGGATATAGTTCACATTGGAGCCAAGAATGTTGAGCTTTGACTCAGCATTCATTTTCGTTTTTATCAAATCAAAAGGAAACTGAAGCGTGCCAAGTAGCTTGGCCACAAAGAAGGTATCTATTCATCCAAATTACAGGAGGGATTTTCCCTGTGAGTCTGTACAGAAAAAAAAAAAAAAAAAAAAAAAAAATGTTTACTTTAGATTATGCAAGCCTGGAGAAAAAAAAAAAAAAAAAAAAAAAAAAGCAGGCTCAAGGCACACTCGTGCTGTTTGTATGCCGGGTGTTTGCTAAACTGCAGTGCAAGGAGCTGAGGGGTGGCTACACTGCAGACTCTGTGCTGTCTGAATCGCTCAACTCCTACCAGTTCCACCATGCCGGGTTTAGCAGGGACCAGCCAGGAGCTGGGGCTGGAGGCATCCCTGGCGGTCACCTGGCCCAGCCCCTGCTCACAGCAGGGTCAGCTGGAAGCCCTGCATGGGCTGTCCGTGTTCAGCTGGGCTTTGAAGACCTCCAAGGAGAGGAACACCCCAGACTCTCTGGACAACCTGTTGCAGTGTTCAGTAATAAAGTTTTACCTGAGTTTTAAATAGAATTCCTTGTGTTTTGGTGTGTGCATTGCTTCTTGTCCTGTCATAGACACTGAGAAGAGTCTGATTTCATCTGCTTCTTTTCCCATCCACACATGAAGAAGGCCCCCCTGTGAGTCCCAGGGCTCACTGCCTCTCTTCCCATGACAGGTACCCCAGCCGCTAAATCATCTCTGTGGCCTTCACTGGACTCTCCAGTATGACCGTACCTCTCTTTTGCTGGGGAGCCCAGAGCTGGACACAGGACTCCAGCGGTGTCTCATCAGCAGGGGGGAAGAATCCCCTTGCTGGCAGCACTCAGGCAGCCCAGGATGCTGCTGGCTTTCTTTGCCACAAGGACACACTGCTGGCTCACGTCCAGTTTGGTGCCCACCAGGACCCCTAAGTCCTTCCCTCCCAGGCTGCTTTCAAGCCAGTCAGCTCCGAGCACGCCCTGGTGCACGGGGCTATTCTTCCCCGGGGGAAGGGGTTTGCGTGTCCATTTGCTGAACTTGATGAGGTTCTTGTCCTCTCATCTCTGCAGCCTCTCCAGGTCCTTCTGGCTGGGAGCACAACCCACTGGCATCTTAGCCAGCTCTCGCAGTTTGTGCTGTCTGCAGGCTTGCAGAGGGTGCACTCTGTCCCACTATCCAGGTAATTAAGATATTAAACAGGACTGGCCCCAGTACGGACACCTGGAGTGTCCCAGTGGTGACGCTAGCTGGATTTTGTGCCATGGATCACAATCTTGTGAGCCCGGATATTCAGCCAGCTGTCAGCCCACATCAAGGCCCAATACCTCATCGGTTTGTCTATGAGGATTTCATGGGAGCCAGTCGAAAGCCTTGTTAAAGTCAACGTAAATAACATCCCTGCTCTGCCAGGAGGATTATGGAAGAGGAGTTTTGCCAACCTGAGATGTTTTCCGGTCTGAACTGCTCCCCTGGCTCCAAGATGGATTGTTCTGGCTGAAAAGGTGAGGAACAGGTAGCAGAGAACCTGCCTGGCATGGGAGACACTCTCCAGCCACGCAGGTGCCCAGCACTGGAGCTGTAACAGGGCAGTGCCACAGCGCAGCACGGGGCAGCTGGGCACAGCTGCAGCTCTGTAGGGGAACGGGCGAGCCTGTGATATCTGACCTCCTGCCCCAGCCTGGGGGTGCATGGGTGGGAGCCTCCTCCACGGCAAAGAGGAGACTTGGGGCTGTGCGTGGGCCCCTGGGCCTGGATCTTCATCCCCAGGAGTGCAAACCCCTGCTTGTCTCTCCTGGAGCTGCAAACGGGAGCAGTGGAGTCACTGATTTAACTCTGTTCTCCATCAGGAACAGGTATGAGATGCTTAGAGAGAAGGCTGACGGCTCCTGGCACAGGTGATGGTCTGCTCCACCACACCCCGACCCCTCCAGGGAGGATCCCGGTCACACTCCTGCTTCCTGCTTGCTCTTCCCCTGCAGTGCGATTCAGGATACTGGTGCTGTCAGATGCAGCGGGCTGCAGCTCACCTTGCAGCTGGGCAGATGCATCATCACAGAAGCTCACAACCACTTTTGTTGGTTCCAAAGCCTCTGTAGGATTTGACACAGGTACCAGGAAAGTGGAGTTTTGCTAGATTCAGAGCAAGCCCTGGCAGGACAGGCAGGGCTCTGCTTTCCATGGCTTAGCAGAGAAGTTCTGGACAGAGGTGCATGGCAGAACAAGAAGTGGCTCCAGCTTTCAGATGAATTGCTGTAGAGTAAAACTAAATCATGGCTTTTTGCCACGGAAATAAAGTGTGCAGAAACCAACAGTGGGAGCTATCTGTTCCCCTCTTCTTGCAGCTCATAGGGTAGCATGGACACGGGGAAATGACAAATACTCGCTGCTGGTTCTGCACTTCTTGCTGCATTTCCATGACAGAGAGACTGTGGCTACAGAAAGGCAGTTTTGTGGCTAACACCAGCCAGAAAGAGCTTTGCTCATGGGAACTTCACTCCTTCTTCTCCCCAGCGTCCCCCTCCTGCAGTGAACAAGCCCAAGGGCTAGAGGCTCACACTGTGCCGTCTTGCTCAGCGCCCAGAGCACCCGGGGCAGTGAGGAGGTGTGATGGAAACATTGCACATCAGGAAGCTCTGCCCTCCATCCAGAAACTCCGAGATGCTCAGTGGAATGAAAGGAGCTGTTGTTCACTGCTACTGAATTTGACAAGGCTGGGCGGAAGAGGAGGGTCTGGAAGGAGCTGCTGCAGCCACAGTTGTTTGCTTGTGTCATTGGCCCAGACTGATAAGCACTTACAAAAATGCCCTTTGAGAGCCGTGATGCCTTCTGCCAGGGTGGGCACCTCTCCAGCCACGCCTGCGTGGCACTGACCCCTGCTGCAGGTCTCCACCTTTGAGCTTCCAGCTGCAACCACACGCTCCTGCCTGGCTGTTCCTGGAGCAAGATGACCCTGCTGGCCTCTGAGGCCCACGTCTGTTTCCAGCTTTCTGTTTCTCTGCACTGTCTTCTGTCTGTCTGTTAAATCCTAGAGCCCTCTGCTGTCAGAAAGCTCCTGCAGTTTAAGTAGTTATAATTCAATCTCTCTCAAGCTTGCTTCCCTTATTATTCCTGGCATGGAGCTGCCTTTTATAGCTTTGGCCTCACCCAGCCTTGGGCATGAGGTTTGTTTGAGTAGCAAAAGAAAGCTAAAATTATTCAAAAAAGAAGATTATAGAGAAAGATGCTATAGTGGCTGCCAAGACTTCTTCCACTGGGATAGCGGTCCCAGGGGCCCTGGGACTCCCTCCAGTCCCCCCAAGTCCTGCCCTTGCCAAGAGGTACCAGTCGCAAAGCATATGCCCCAAGGGGAAGGGACCCCGAGTGCTTCGCTTGAGGTGATGCTGAGGTCTCCCGGGCTGGAGAAAGCCACATCTGCTGCACCAAAGCACAGCTCACCTGCAGGCACTGCAACATCCCCAACCCAGCTCTGCAGCACAGTCAGATGCAGTACACAAAGGGATATTAGCCTGTCCATGGCTCTCCTGCTCGATGTTCACTCCTGTTGTCCATAAGCCTACAAGCGGCTGTGAGCTCCAGCGTGCAGGGTGCTGTGTTTGGGGGATGCTGGGGGTCTCGCCCTGGGCAGAGGGCAGTGTCCGGGGCTCTGTGCACAGCTGGGGCTAAAGGAGACCCCTCAGCACCTGTTCCCAAACTGTCCCTGGCCCAGGAGGCCACAGGGGGAGGCTGCAAAGCTGCATGCAGCATTCCCCAACACCAACCCCTGCCCTGTGTCTGCCAGCACCAGACAGTGCTCATGGCTCTTTTGAAGGGCGCAAACCCATCCAGGGGCGCAAGAGGCTCAGATGGGAACTGTGCTTCAGAGAGGTGCTGCAGAGTACCCCAACCTGCAAGCAGTCTCCATGCATAGGAAGTGGTTTGCAGCCTTGCAGAGAGCCCAAACCAAAATAAATGTTGAGGCTAATAAACATCCGAGTATCACTGTCGGACTCTGTGTGATGATGTCATACACACAAAGCCTAGTGGGTTCACTTACAAACTGGCTTTATTTTTCACCCTGGCAGAGCTCTGAATTTTCAGCCTGGTCTTCTTTGTTTTTCCTGGGGCACTCACCAAAGATCTGACTGATATGGCCCATCCTTCTGGACAAAGGACACAGACCAGGCAGAGACACGTTGTCATTTCCATGCATTCGTGGGGTTTGAGGGCCACTGAGGGGATGCTGAGGGGTGGGGGTGGGGGCGAGCCCCCACCACTCCAGCCAGGAGTACCCTGACAGGTGCAAACACTGCCCTAGGGCTCCAAAATCACTGAAACTCACTTTTCCCTGTTTCTTTCATTGGCTTTCATGACATGGATGGGGAGGGGGCTGGAGCAAGGAGAGTTCTGTTGTTGTGTGTTTTTTGTTTTTCTTTTTAATTATACTTTTATTTGGTTTGAAATACCCTACATTTAATCCTCTTTTGTTTGTTTTATTTCAAAACAAAGGCCAGGAAAAATGTGAGGCACACATAGGAAAGCAATATTTTTCTCCAAAGCATTTTCTCAGAAAATATCCTTGCTGGAAGAAGGTTCAACCTTTAATGAGCTACCATCTCTTATCAACACTAACAGCTTGCTGTACCCTGCTTCTCAATGGCCGTCACTGTCCAGGATTCCTTGTGTGACACGGTTTCAAGGAAACACGAAGCCGCTCTCTTGTGCAATGCAGCCACACTCGCCCATGCCGTGTGGCCTGGATGGCTGCACTGCCCCCACCCCAGTGCAGCTGAGGCACTGGTTCCCAGTCACTCCCACACGCACAGGTTCCCCCTGGAGCCAGTTCCAGGACATGACATCATCTTGAAAATTCCATTGTTTCTCCAGAAATGTCAAGAGTAGGGAGGAAAAGAATTTCTGGTTCCTTCAGGGAAGTCTTCAGCACCCAAGCTCTGAGCAGGGCAAGACAAAGACTGCTGCAGGTTGTGCTGGAGGCAGTTACTGAACTTAGGCCATTTTTAACACTTCCTTTTCCAAGTGAATCCTGCCAGCTCAGCATTTAAAACTGCTATAAATAGCAAGTTACATCATCCAGTCTCACCATTTTTTGCAGTGTTCCCCTTTCATAAGACAGATCGAGAATTTCTCTATTTCTGCCTCTGACCAAACTTATTTGGGGCATTTGCTTTATTTAGCATTTTCTTCTGGGATTTCCGTTGGCCTGCAGACAAGCTCTAACATAACCTTCCAGGCAAATCAGTGCAACATCAGACAGACTGCTTCAACCAGCCTTCCTTCTGACTCCAAACATTGCCTGCCCATGGCGGGGGGAGAAGGGCAGACCGTGTGCTGTGTCACAGGCCCTGAAACCAGCCGGAGCCAGAGTGGGAAAATGTTTATTTTCCTGCACAGCATCTTTTGCATGAACCTAATTTCCCTAAAGGAGCTCCAGCCTACTTTGGCCACTCTTCCATGGCCATCTGCCCATTCCAGAGCACCTCCCAGACAAACGTCCTTCAGCCCAGACACCCAGCCCCACAGCCACCCTCTTTTCCAAAAGGGAAAGGTGAGAAGAAATTCCTTTCTCATTTCATCATGATAGGGCTGCAGGGTAAGCACACCGTTTTAGACACATTACCACATCTCAGGGCATTGACTACAGCCTCCCACTTCCACCCAGCCTGGGAAGAGCTGGCAGAGTCAGGGCTTTTGTCAAATTTCTAGGGAAAAAACAGACTCATAGGAAGCAAACACTCCGATTTTGAGGTTATTTTATTGGCTTTCAGTAGTGGAAAAGTTCCAGCACTTGCCTGGCCCTTGTAACACACATTATCTATGTTAATCTGATCCTAAACTGACTCAACTAAACTGAAAAGGTGTTTTCTTTCTTTGATTGTTGTTGGGTGGTTTGTTTGTTTGTTTGTTTGTTTTAATTTAAAAATTGTCCCTGAAAATTCAAAACATTTTTGCATCTGCTTGCCAACAGAGGTACAAATGCATGGAGAATTTCAGCTACCTGAAACTGAAAAAATATCTCACTGAAAGCATTCAAATAACCAATGCATACTTACAAATAATTCTTCTGTTCTAATGAAACCTGCTTTTATCAGAACATCTCTGCACCATAAATGGCATTTTGCCTGCCTGCCCTACCCACGTCATCTGTCTGGCGAGCAGGACAGGACCAGATGGCTGTAGGTGGCAAATCTCAAGACATGACCTATGAATGACCTGCTTGAAGGTTCAATCACAGGGAATAGCTCAGAGGCAAACCACGCTCTTACGTATCTACAAGTTACATTCCCCAAGCAACCAGACAGAAGAGCCAAGAAAGCTGAGGCTGGCTCAGAGCTGACTTCTGGTCCAGCTGGCTTCTGGCTGAATGTCAGCTTCCCTCCCCCTTCCTGGCCAGGCACACCAAGGCTCTCCCCTCATCCTCCCAGGACTTTGAGGGCTCAGCACATGAACAAGCAGGGGGGCTGTGCTGGTGGGGGAGCCTGCAAGGTGCATCAGCACCCTGGCCAGATGGCAAAAGGAAGGCTAGGGAGGGGACCAGCTTGGCATGGTGTTGCCAGGGAAGAGCTGATGCTCCATTTGGCAAGTGCCACATTTGCTCCATCTGCCTTCCATGCAGAACAAGTGCTGCAGCCATGCCAGGGCAAGGGGCAGGCATCCCACCACCGTGGCTCTCTGCAGGCTCTGGAGACCACCTGGAGGGTGGGTCACCTCTGGGACCTCTCCTGCTAAGGCCTTGGACCACATTGTCTCCCAGAAACCCCAGTCTGCTTGGAGGTCAAGCCCCCTTCACAGGGCTGCACTGCCTCCCTTCCCACCAACTGCAGAAGGTGGAAGGGCTGTGCACACCATGCGACATTGCAGTGAGGGTTGGAAAACACTGGGTTATCTACAGAACTCATCCAAGTCGACAGCCTAAAAGTTGCCTTTTACAGAAACATGGTGAGTCAGTGCCCAGCGCTGCGGCAGGGGTTGTTTCGTTGGCTTGCTCTACTTTTTGTCATATTCTTTCAACAGGAAGCATCTGTTGAAACATCACTGAGTAGATGAAAATAATGAAATGGAGACATTTCCCTGAAATGCAGCTACCTCGCTGTTGAGAAGAGGCCAAGTTCTCTTTTCCTGACTGACATCCCAGTTTATGCTTGTGCCTTCACCCCCATCTTGAGAGTTCCTGGTCTTTAGAACTGGTGACTTCTTCCTCACCCAGCTCCTGGAGCTCCTTCTGCTTCATCTGCAGGGTCACAGTCAACATCTCCATACTTTTCTGGATCTCTGCATCTCCAGGCCCATCAACAATAGGCCTCACCTCACCTATCAGTAGCCAAAGAAACGTAAGTGTCTAACCTAAATTGGTCATTTAAGGTCTTCTTGTAGGACCCGGAGTGAGGCAGGCCCCTCCAGGAGATAACACCCCATCTCAGCTCCCTTAAAACTGAGGAAAAAACTCAAGCACTTCAGCTTCTGGAACTCTTTTTCCCACCCTTATGCTCACCACTACCTGCGCTGGTGCCTGCAGTGCTGTCACAGCAGCAGGGCAGCTACTGAGTCCCCTCAGACAATAGGAAGAGGGAGCCCACAGGTGAAAGCCCCTATCTTGTGCTGCTGCAGGAGGGAAACAGTTCAGGGTAGAAGAGATCTCTCTCCCGTTGTTCCTAAGATGGCCTCATCCCATCTATACTCTTCGTCCCATTTGTGCAGTGCAGAGGCAGGATGCATGCTTGCCTCCAAGTTGCTGTTACAGGTTGGGTAACACAGGCCTGTTGACAAATGCAGGAACCTCCACAGGGGAACTTCTTACTAAGGGACATGCATGAAAGAAACAGAAATAGATATTGTGATAGTTTCATATCCTGTGTCACTGGGGAGGCACTGAATCAAGGGGACAGCTTCACGTTTCCGGGGCTGGGGCTACCACTTCGTTCCATCACGAGACTGTGCTGTGAGCCACTTCTCTGGGGGAAATTCCACCACACCTACGCAAGCAACTGTCCAGACCTGCTTGCCCTATAAATTGGAGGGTATCTGAATGTCTCAGCACCAAAGAGAAAAGAAGCTTTCACGCTCACTTGCCTGCTTCAGCTCCGGCCACAACTTCTGCGTTGACATGAAGGTCTCTGTGGTTGCCCTGGCTGTTCTCATCGCCGCCTTCTGCTACCAGACCTCTGCTGCACCAAGTAAGTCTGGACTCTATGAATCTCTCTAAATGGGGACAGGGTCCTTTCTGCCAGCCCTTCCACCCCGGGTCCCTCCTCATGTCAGATCACCTTCTAGCGGGTGCTCCATGGGTGCTATTCAGCCGTGGGCAGGCACAGCGCAAAGCACAACACATGTGTGGTGTCAGCAACAGCTCAGGGTGAACCCAAATGAGAAAGAATTTAAGGAAGAAGGAAAAAGACCTTGCTTTTCGTATTCCCCCTCCACGTCCTCCCAGACCCATGGGGACTCCAGTCCCAGCTCCCTGCCCCTGTTCGCCTGTCACTTGCAACTGCTCACACCTGTCTTTGCCTTTACAGTTGACTCTGACCCACCAACCTCCTGCTGTTTCACCTACGTCCAACGGGCGCTGCCCCGTAGCTTCGTGACCGACTACTATGAGACCAACAGCCTGTGCTCTCAGCCAGGTGTCGTGTAAGTGTTCTCCTCCAGGACTGGGGGTTCTCCCTTTGGGATGAGGATTCCTCTACATTTTGGACCTGCAATGAGAAAGACTCATTTTCAGGGGGGACAGGAAGGATGTGGAGCCAAGAGATGCATGGGGATGCTCCATGGGCTCAGTGCACTTGGGGCTTACACTGGTCCTGCTCCAGGGTTTTGCAGGCTGGTGGCTGCCAACATGGTCAGCACCATGTGGTGCTGCCCAAATCCTACTGACCCTCAGGAGAGGTGTGGAACAGGGATGGTGGGGTCTCCCCCACATGGAGCTCTCACATGGAACTCATCTCGCTGCTCCCCACAGGTTCATCACAAGGAAGGGACGTGAAATCTGTGCCAACCCTGAACATGACTGGGTCAAGAAGTACGTGATTGAGCTGGAACTGAACTGAAGCTTTGGAACAGGATGCACTGTGCCAGGACAAGCAAGCCATGGACTCCATCAGAAATGTTCCGTGTCATTTAGAATTAGCTGAGAAACTGAAAATGTCCCAGAACCTGACTTCAGTGTGCGTTTCTTTTTTTATTTATGCATTTAATTTTTATAATGAAAGGGAGCAGGTGAAATAACAGGAAAATTACTTAATATATATATATTTTAATGAGAACCTCCTGTGGGGCTGGAAGACCTGGGAGGGCCTGTGTGTGTTTTCAGGAGGACAGCATATATTGGTGTCATCAGGATCCTTGTCACTTCAGGAACTCAGCTCCCAGCTCTTCAGCCCACAGGACATCCTGCACCCCATCATTCATCCTGCGACAGTGCTGACTGTACTCTGCTTAAAATAGCAGCCGGGGGGGGAAAGACCAAAAGCTGTGCCCATAAGTTGGACCAGAGCCCCATTCCCCATGTGCTTCTAGGAGGGAGCTGCATGGCCATGGGGTTGGGACAGGCATCACCACATAGGCAGATGTGTAAAACACAACATGGAGCTGCTACCTGTGAGCCGGGGGGTGGCCTTGGGCACAGCCTTGACTCCACAGGCACTGCACGCCCCCAGGCCAGCCCCATTTATTGTGACTGTGATAGACAGAATGGCTGAGGTCAGCAGCAGTCTCTGGGTCTGTGTGATTTGCTCCATTGGGCCACCCAGAACAGGGTGCCCAAGACCATCTCCAGGTGTCTTTGGACCATCTCCAAGGAGGAGACTCCAGCACCTGACTCCAGTACCAGACTCTCTGGGCCTCCTGTGCCAGTGTTTTTCTGTTTTTGTGTCTATTACAGTTTTTGCGATGACAATAGCTGAAATAATAATTATGGTAACAAATTTATTTCCTCTTCTAAACTGGCAACACCCATCCCCCCCCCCCCCCGAGGGCACAGGATGTCCCTCTCTGGGCATCCTGTGCCAGTGTTTCGTCACCCTCAAGGACATGAGGACTCTTTAGCCACTGAGTAGCAGCCAGGCCCATACCTGCATGCCAGAGCCTGGTAGCTTCACCCAAGAACTGAGGTTGGCACAAAGCTGGGCACCCACAGCTGCCCTCACTCCAGGGACCAGCAGGAACAGGGGACAGGAGCTCCTGTCTTGGGGCATGGAGACCCACAACGGGGGCATCACACAATTGGCTTAATCCTCAACAGTCCCCTGTGGACACAGCTCCACCTGGTCCTGTGGCAGTGGGAGCAGTCCCACAGCTGTGGGGTGTCTTGTCAAAGGACACACTGCACAAGCTCAGCCACGAGCACCACCAAGCCCACACACGGTTTGAGCCCGTTGCAAACCACACCGAGCACCGATGTCCTTATCAGCCTGGGTCGTGTTGGAGCCACCCACAGCTGACACCTACCCCGGGTACCTCAGCTAAACCCTCACCACCATTCTGGGAGCCCGCAGGGAGTCCTGGATTGCTCACGTCTTCCTTGATCTCACAGCCACTCACGCGTGACAGCTCAGAGGAGCCCTCACTGAGCGTGCGAGGAACGCTGTGCTCCCGTTAATCCACACCCACGGGCACAGAGGTGTGAGCCAAGCCCACGCCAGCAAGGCAAAGGCAGTTGTCAGCATGCAGCAGCAGCAGGTTGGAGGCAGCCCCCAGGGCCCGCAAGCAGCACCGGGCACATGGAGGAAGTATTCCAGGCCCTCTTCAGGGCCACCACGTCTGGCAGAAGAGGAGGCGGCATACCAGAGGGCACTGAGCTGGTTTGGAGACAGGGGAGGATGTGGCCCCATGGGAGGGGACTCATGGGGGTCACGGGTCTGTCTGGACTCAAACAGACTGAGACAAGAACAATAGCCTCAGCTGTTTCAGAGTTTGTGAACTGCCAAAGGAGAGACTCATCCTGAAAGCAGTGTGGCATTTACTGCATGCTTTGTGTAACATGTAGTTCAGGTCTTTAGAGTCAATGCTTTTTGTGTTCTGTTGTGGAGCAGGCTTTTAATACATTTTGGAATGCAACAGAGTATCACGTCTTCCAGTAGTATTGAACCATATTATTTAAAGGAAAGTCTAATTTTTTAAAAAATAAATATTTTTTATGAAAGCCATGTGAAAGCCTAAATGTGAACCAAATGAAAGGTATCATAAAAGTAACAACATTACTATAGTATCTCTACAAGTTTTTTGTTTACGTCACCCCACTGTGGACACAGGCATTCTGAGGGAGCTGCACATCAGATCCCAGCACTGCACCGCAGGAGGAGCTGTGCTGTGCTAATTGAGGTACCATTGACTGCACCGGTGGTTCATGGCCTGATGCTTTTCCATCTCTGCTATTTAGGTTCGCGAGCACTGGCTCCATGCTGTCCCCACCACCCCAGGAAAGGGGGCCCTGGTTCACCACGGGTGGGGAGACTCCGTCCTCCACCCAAAGCTGCAAGTCTCCCCCGTGGCAGCACCGGGACAGGGGCGGAGGAAGGGAGGCAGTGGCCCAAGCCAGTGAGGACAAGGGCAAGCACAGGAGTAGGCATAGATGCAGGGTTTGGAGGCAAAGGCACAACCCAAACTCAGAATCACCCAAGCTGCTGTGGCCACTTACATTGCCATACCTGGAGTTTTGCTAGAGGATGTTGCTCCTGAACTCAAGTGTTGGCAGGAGGCTCTTCACAGATAGCGAGAGGAGGACAAAAGGGAAAATCAAAGCCCTCGGAGTTAGAAAACCCACCTTGGAACATCCTGGCCGATCCCAATAAGCTGAGATACTGGAAAGAAAAGACTAAAAATTCTGCAGGTATTATCTGGGCTTATTAACTGTAAATTTTAGGCCAGATGACTCACAACTTTTAAACATTAGGGAAGTAATGGTGGATGGTTTTGCATGCTGCAATATAACAATTTCCTTAAGTAACGATATATCCCTGACTGCCCGGGCTGAATACACAGAAGTATTTAGTAAGATGATGAAATGTAATACTAGAAATGGTGTCTGACTATCACACTGTCAGCCATGGCCAACAGAAAGCAGAAATGGAAATTTGGACCTGAAAGAACATTTCTGCTCTGTTCTTAGAAAGAAGCAGACAAGCACTCACATTCACTTATGATGATGAAACAATTTCCAGTATACTAGAAGAGAAAGAAGGATGTTAAAGTTTGTTGAGAAAACACATTGCTAGAATTGCAGGTCTGTAAATTTTACTACTGAGATTCCCAGCTGGGACAATCAGCCCCTCTGGGTGACCAAACAGGAGTCAAACCCTCAAAAAGTGACAAATCCACAGACGACTCAGAAAGAATAGCTCACTGATCACCCATCTCCAGGCTGTGTCATTCACCAGAAGCGGCATCCTGAGGATGCCTTCAGAAAAAAACAGACACCTTGAACAGGAGATCAGCCCTGGGACCTGGGGAACCCAAAATGTACCCGCAGAACTTACATACATACATACGTATACACCCATCTTCCTTTGGGATATGGAAATCAAGGGGAAACTGTCTGACTGTGATCACCCCGGTGTATACAGGCCAACCTCTTTAGGACTAAATAATCTACGTCTGGGTGTGAAGGTCACCAGCTTGCTGGGTGCTGGTCTGCGGGGGATCAGGAGCAAAACCGCCATGGGAAAACCCAGATGCTCGGGCCAGACCACACTGTGCCGTGTAAGTACTCCACATGGCCAGGGCAAGTGGTCTAAGCAGGACCTGGTCCTTGATGGGCAGGAGCTCTATGGAGGCCAGAGCCAGGCCAGAAGGAAACACAGGAAAGTGGTCTCAAGTTGCACCGGGGGGTGTCTTCGGGGGGGGGGGTTATATTGGACATTAGGAGGAATTTGTTCATGGAAAGTATAGTTAAGCATTGGAACAGGCTGCCCAGGAAAGTGATGCAGTCCTCATCCATAGAGGTTTCTAAAACACGTGTAGAAGTGGCACTAAGGGACATGGCTTAGTGATGGGACTGAGTTGGTCAGGTTGGTGGCTGGACCTGATCTTGAAGTCTTTTTGCAACCCAGATGATTCTATGGTTCTTTAAGCACACAAGCACTTCCATGGAGGAAGTGGGCAAGCTCAACTTGCCATGACTTAGAGCAAGAGCTTGTAAGCAGTTTTAGGAACAGCTCTAGCCTTAAACCACACTTGCCATCCAGTCCGGACACCTCAGGGCAGACTGGTGTCAGCACAGAGCAGTTTCTTAGCTGCAGATGATGCACAGATTCCATCAAGTGGAAAATTGTATAGCACATTCAGAGTTATCTCATACCGTGGACCTTTATTCTCCTTCTTTGGAGAAGCAGATGCATGACTTCTAGGGACGCACTGGGTGTTGCGGTGGGGTGACCTCACATCCTTTCTGCTCAGCCGTTCACTTTTTCACTGTCATCCCTGCCTATCTGTAAGACCTCTAGATTGTTGCATTTCCTCCTGCCTCTTCTGAAAAAGCTCTTTGTCGCTCCTGCTCTGTGGCAGTGCTCTTCATCTGGCACCTTGCTGCAGTGATATCGCTCTTGCTTTCTGGACAGCTTCCATCCCACCGTCTCCTCCCGCCCTGGTGACATTTAGCCTGGCCCCTTCCCAAATGTTGCCCTGTGCAGCAGGTTTCCCTGGCAGCCCCCAGCTGCCTCTGCTTCCAGCCCTCTGCCAAGCCCTCAAAGTTCATGCTCTTTCTATAGATTCCCAGGCCACATAAACTCTCTTTGTGAAACCTCCATGGAGGTCAAAAAAAGGTGTGAGGCCCACCAAGGCCCACTGCCCTTCCTGGGCACGTGGCAGAGCTGGGACCACGCTCTCCCAGCAAGGCTCTCTTCTCTTCTGTGTAGCCTACAGAAGAGAGAGCAAGCAGACGAGGGGAGGTGGGTGAGGTTCACCAAAAAGTGACAAAAACAAGCCAAGAGGAACTGCTGTGTTGGGTCCAACACTATTTTTTACTAGGAGCTTCCTAATCAACATCGAGGACATCCCCAGAGAAACTGTACCAGGTATTTTAGATCTTTCCTTATCAAATCATGTTTTATTCTAATTGAATTGGTCACTAAATCAAGAACTGTCCAACACACAGTGCAACCCCCACGCACGCATCCCCTTGCCTTCACCCCTGGTCCCAGTGACACAGAGCTGAAGTGTGGT